CTCCCTCCCTCCCTCCCTCCCTCCCTGACAATTTATATGATGCTTCAATCACAAAGTAACTCTAGGCAGCTTACACAAGAAGATTAAAACCTCAAGTAAGAATAGTAAGTAAAAAAATAACAAAACAGAATCAGTAGAAGAATACATGGCACACATCAAGGAGGATAACCCTAACACAAACGTATTTCCCACCAATCACCCTCAGGGATCAGATCACTCCACCCTACCCCAAGGCCTATTGAAAGGAACAGTTTTTATGGCTTTATAGAGGCCCAACAGGGTTGGAGCTGTATGGACCTCAAGGGGCACCCTGTTCCACAGAGCAGGGGCAGCTACCAAGAAGATGTGTCTCCTGGGTCCCGTAAGATGACAGAACTTTACAGTTGAGATTCAAAGTGTGCCAACTCACAGACAGAAACAGGCGGAATGACAATTCTGTAGGTAACCTGACCCTGAGTCATGCAGGGCTTTATAGGTGATAACCATCACCTTAAATTGCACCCAGAAGTTTACTGGTAGCAAAGCTGAGATGTTCCTAATAAGGACCATTTCCTTCACAGGAAAAAAGACAAGTATTCATTCAGCTCTGTTTGGATACCATTCAGATACGACCAAGAAGAGAAGAATGAGACTATTCCTAGTCTTCCTTTCTTACAACCTTCACACAACCAGGCCAATTAAAGATATAGTTTAAAAACACGTTAAACCCAGTTAGCGTTACCTTTACTTTTATTTTGTGGGTTGGGGAGAGCTGATCCTCTCCCCCCCCTTCCTTTCTTGTAGATTAATACATTGTCTCATCCAGCCTATCTGGTTTATTTACAGTTTATTCTAGTCTCAAACCCAAAAAACAGATTACAGTGGTACCTCTAGTTATGAACGCCCCTCCTTACGAATTTTTCGAGATACAACCAGCTCCGTCCCCAAAAATTTACCTCGTGTTGTGAACCACCTCGAGTTACGAACCGGATCCGCGGCCATTTTCCCTCCCATGACACGTGGCCGTGGCCATTTTCTGCCCGTGCCACGTGGTCCGCAGCCATTTTTCCGCCTGTTCCATGTGGTCCGCGACCGTTTTTCTGCCCTGCCGCGTGGTCTGCGGCCATTTTCCGCCCGACACGTGGTCCACGGCCATTTTCCCGCCCTGACACATGGTCCGCGGCCATTTTCCGCCCCTGACACGTGGTCCGCGGCAATTTTCCCGCCCCTGACTCTCCGCCCAAGCAATAGCTGCCTCCCTGTCCTCCACGCCAGAACAGATTAACGGTAATTACATTGAACCTTATGGG